CTGCTGACATCAGCACATAAAATGCATGTACATCCAAATACACACACTGACCAGGCTGAGAACCCCCGAATATTTATGTCCAACTTTCTAATCTGACATCTCTTTTGGATGTCTCACAGGAATTTCAAACAACCCAGGCCCCAAACTGCATTCTCAAGCTTCTCTCCAGACCTGGTCTCACTCCAGTTTTTTTCATCTCAGTCAATGGCATCATCATTCCATCAAGGAACTCAAGCTGAGGATCATTCTACTTCTGCTTTACTCGCCACACACGCCTCATCCATTGCCAAGGCAACGCCCACATCTAGAATACAGACCTCTTCTTTGTTTCCAGTGGGGGGGAGACTCGGGACCCTACCAGTCATCTCTGACCTAGACTGCCGCAGTGCCACTTCCTCGATCTCTCTGGGGCGCTTCCTCTGGGGCGCTGTCCCGTGTGCCCACCTTCCCAAACTACCTGACAGCTACAGTTGTCTTTCAAATAGGGCAAATTCATTCTTGGGTCAGCAGACAGCCACAGCAAGCCCCACAGCTCCTGCGTGTGGTCTGGGAGGCTGTGGCTGGCCACCTGTCTGGGCTCTCCTACTGGCCCGGGCATCCTGGCCACTCTGGCTTCTCTCTCCTGCCTAGGAGCTTTCAGAGGCATTCTCTCTTCTGTGTGCAATTCTCTTCCATTGCTCTTTACCTGACTAACACCTGAACTTAAATAGAACTGCCTATCTTTGAATCCTCTAAATAAAATTCTGTCTCTTGTCCACTGTGCCCTATTTTTTCTTACCAGGGCCCTTATCACACCTGTAATCATAAATGTATTTCTTTTAAATTATTTTGTATGGGATCCTCCTACTACATGATGCTCCATGAGCACAGGAACAACATCTGGTTTTGTTAACCACTGTACACTCATGGCCTGGGCCAGAACATGGTGGATTTTTCTTTTTCTCAGAGAAAAGAAGGAATAAATATAGGACAAGAGAATAAAGCAAAGGGCAAAGGACAAAAAGTGGGAATAAAATATCAAAGTATGGAAAAAGGAAAATGTGCTTTCTTCCTGTATTCAGCTCAGCAAATGTTCGTAAAACTATAACACAAGATAACTATTAAACTGTTAAACTGGAAGGTTCTATCCTTCCAGCTTTCTGTCTGAAGACATGGCTATTTAGTAAGTTTTGTTAATTAAATGCTCTTGCAAGATACTAATTCTCCCCTTTGATATATTTCCGCAATGACAGGCAAGAAAGAACGTGCACCTCTAAGAGATAAAATTCAATTATTGGTCCCTAAGCTAAATATCTCAAGGAGAAAGGAAGAGAATGTTTCAGAAAGGAAGGAAGAAAGAAAAGTGATGTCTAATGGAAATCACCAAGGTTGGGAGTGAGGCTGTACAGAGGGAGTCTCCAGGAAATTCACTTACCCTTTCTTTGCCTTAGCCTCCACTCTAAATTATCTATAGATAGGACCAGTGTTCCCTTTCTGTTAAAAAATCCTATGGTTTTATTAGTCATGAATTCATTTAATAATCATTTAACATGCAGTAGATGTAGAGAAGCTGTATGTTTGGGCTCTGAACAGATTGCCTAGCCTGGTGGTTAAGGACTGTCTTCTGCATTCGTTTTTCTGTTACCTTTGATTTTAGTGATTTATAAAACTTATGTTTGTGTTGGTTACTCTGACCTATAATACTTTGAGAAACCGAAAATAAATGTTTTCATTAAAAGCTTGAGTTAAAGGAAGTTTTCCCGAAGATCAATAGAGAGGAGACTCTTACATATTATATTTCTGAAATCTAAAGTATATTTTTGATAATATTTCACAACTCAGAGGACAGGAGCCTTCTGACTGAACCTCTGTGACCCTGAACAGGACTGGTGGGCTTCAAATAAATTTCTTTTCATTTCAAAGTTGGCACAAATTGGGCTATCCGTCATCAGAACATAAGCCCTTACTGATCTCAGAAAAGTGGTACTGCTTGAGCACTGGGAATGAACAAGATGCAAAGTAAAGTTAGACAGAAGCGTATCACAGGGCTTCACTAGGACCATCTGACCCAGGCTGTGTGGGATAGGGGACTATTGTGTTAAACGTGTAAGACGTAGTCGCTCCTTTTCCCACAGGCCTTAGTTTCTTCTGACGTGGTAATTTATATACTTTATAGAAAACCCCCAGTGATCAAGGCTGTCTTTAAGTTCACTGTTAGTTACAAAGCTCTTTGGGGTGGAGCAGAGCTCTAGAAAAGCCATTCTTTTCTTGGGATCCATTCTTTTTCTTGGGCAACTAACAGCTGCCTTTGGTCAGAAGGGGTCACTGCTTGGGCAATTTTCCCTTCTCTGCAGCTTGCTATGCTGAAGAGACTATGCAAGATGAACCCAAATGTGTCCATTTGGGGGGACCCACAGGGCATTCCACAAAATTCCACGACGAGGAAGCTGAAGGTAGAAATAACAAGCAGAAACAAAAGGAATGTTCCAGGCTATACATCTACATCTTCTAATTGTATTCTCTTGTATGTGCTACATGTATACATATAAAAAACACATTTAGCATCCTGTTAAATGTGTTCCAAGGCAGAAACCTCAATATTGTACATTTTTCCTTCTATATATATTATCAAAGAATTATTAATGGGTACAGTTTTATTTCTATATTACTTTGATTCGTAAACTAAAAAGCTTGATTATTATCACAGCAAGTGAATCTAGAACATATTAATGATCAGACCTTCTTGTACCCAAATGATATCTGAGCAGTCCTGTTCTCAAACCCTAGATCAAATGCTATAGCTCTGTTCAAAAGCTCTTTTTTCTATACCAACCAAGCAAGTCCCCCAAGGTGAGGCACTTGCATTTCTGCTGCCCTGGACAACTTGGCCCTGGGTCAGCGCTCACCCAAACACAGCTTGATTCTAACCCCACTTTCTCCCTTTTCTTTTGACTCCAATACTCTACAATCATGCCATCTTGGCATCTATTGTTTTTCTTTTTGTCTGTCTTTATAACTGCCAGCAAGTTAAGAATCTCTCTAAGGTTCAGTATCCTCATCTGCGAAATGAAAATAATATCCTATAGCCTCAGTGTTGTACAATCTCAGATATGCTACAAGAAATGCACCACAGAGAATGCATATTCATTACATCTGAATAACCTATTTTCTTGTTTTTGAAGTTTGTGCCTGGTCTTCTTTCAATCCACCACATACATATTCTCATTTGATACGTCACTGCATGTGTTCCAAGGTCCAAAGCATTCACAATGCCATTCACATTGGCAGCGATTCATCAAACTTCAGCTTCCAATTTTCTTCTCTTTGCTCAACAAGTAAAACAAGTACCACCGAAAGGACCTGGAGGGACAGCCTTCAAGACATGCGTTGTTTCTGATTACTCACAGGAAGTGGCCACACTGTCAGTTTCATGGTGCCTTCTCATCAGGGTGACTCAGTCCCTGCTGTCTGTCTCCTCGTCCCCTTAGAGTGTGTGGTTTGTGTGCTGTCTTGGGGAAGCTCTACCAAGATCCTCACTGCTGAGCTTACTAGTATTCTCTTCTCCAAAGCCTAACACTGGATATGTGCCATGAAAAAAGCCAAGTCAAATAAAAACACAAAACAAAAACCTATGCATGATCCATAAGTGAATTCTATTTAAATCTACCACAGATTTAAGTCTTTGGTACGAGGTTGGTCTACAACTATATGCCACTTTAAAGACCTTAAAACTGATTTAATGGCTTTCATACACATATATGTTTCAAACAAAAGAAAAATAATTTTATACAATTCCAAAAGAAATATTACCTAATTTTAAACCTCAAGGAGATTTCTGCAATTCACAGTATTTTCAAATAAATTTACCCCACTTCAAGATGATTCGTAAATAACATAAATAACATAGAAGTGTTTCCTGTTGCTCCTTCTGCATGACATCAGAAGGCATCACAAGATTCGAACGACTGTTAATTACTGTTTCTTCAATGTGTGATGGAAAGAGTAGACCAAAAAAATGTCTGTCATGATGACATAGCATCTATACTTTTATTCCATTGCAAATCATCTTACTTCTTGGAGGGAAATTTAACATTGCTAGAAAGATAACCTCAAATGGTTATGCCAAGGCTCTGACATAAATAAACTCCTCATCAATGATGGGTCTACAGCTATTGGAAAAACACAAAGCCAGGAAGGGCCTACATCTAAGTAGAAGAGAAGACATCACTCCCACAGCTTGTCTGGGCACAGTCCTGCAGATTCTGGGTTTGGCCCACCCTCATGCACAAAGCCACTGAGCTGCATGTATACCATGGTAGCCACTAGCCACAGGAGGCTACTTCAAGTTAATTAAAATTAAGTAAAACTTAAAATTTAGTTCCTTAGCCACACTAGCCATATTTCAAGTGCTCAATGACGACATTTCCAGGTTACTGCATTAGACTGTGCAGGCAGACCTTCACACTGCTGCAGAAAGGTCTATTAGCCAGCCGCGTGATGCAGACTGTTTGAAACAGCACTCTCAGAAAGCCACGGGGTGGCAAGTATTATTTACTCTGGTTTTCAAGACATAAAACTTGCTGTTGTCTTTTTAGGTACAGTAAGCATGTCTTGGCTTTTCCTGACACAATACCAATATTTCTTGTATTTGTATTACTTTGTTTTTAAAACATTTTCTTATAATTTGTATAAATTTACGGAGTGCAAATATAATTTTGTTACATGCATAGACTGCACTGTGGTGAAGTCAGGGCTTCTAGGGTATCCATTACTCAAATAGTGTACATTTGTATTATTTTAAATAACACGAACCATTAAATATAAAAGTAAATGCAACAAAATTAGTTTTTAGTAGGACTTTTTATATAAATAAATGAATGTGTCCATGTGCTCCAAATTTTGACGCGAGAAAAAGACAAACAACAACAGCCCGTGTCTAAGGCGAAACCGCGCTGGTGGAGCTTCCACGTGCGAGCGTGTCTGCGGCCCGGCCCGGCCCCGCGGCCCGCGGCCCCACTCACCGAGCTGCGCGAGCGCCCGCGCGCGCCCCGCCGGGAAGCGCGTACGCCCTCTGCACCACCACGCGGACGCCCGGCGCGGCCCCCGCGCCCTCCGCCACGTCCAGGAGGGCGTCCCTCACGGCGGCGCGCCCTCTCGCTGCTTCTTCTTCGCAGCCGCGGGTCCAGCCGGTCCCTGTGGCGGCCGCCCCAGCGCACACGGCCTGGCCAAGACGTGCAGAGGAAACAGTGTCAATTCACTCACGACAGCATGCCGCACGCCCAACAGTGACACTCCGCGGGAGCCCGCCATGCACGCGCACCGCGCTAAGGAGTGCGGAACACGGAGACAAAGGCGCTGGCGGGCCTCCGCGCCAGGTAGCTGACGCGCTGGGGACGGAAGGGCAGACAGTGACTGGACAGTAGCTGGGTCTCCTGCCAGTGGAGTCACAGACTAGGCAGGTCTTTGAACACACAGAAAGTCTTGGTATTAAAATACCTCATGGTAATTAAAAAATTTTCTTTTCTGAGGTAACAACCCCAACAGGACAAACTAAAAAGCAAAATAGAAGAATGACTAGGTATTAATAAAAATGAATCATTTATTAAGTGACTGTATGTGCAATCTCCTAGGCTAAGTACTTTACACGCTCATATATTCTCCCAACCACCCCTTATAATAATATTAACTATTGCAGTAAGACAATACTTCCAGAGCACTTCTTATATTCCAGGCTTTGTTCTTTACATATTAAACATGTTTATCCTTACAACCACCTGAGGAGGTAGATAATATTATTATCTCCGTTTTACAGATAAGAAAATTGGGACACAGAGACTACAGATCTTGCCAAGGTAGCCCAGCAGGAATTGACTGAGGTAGGATTTGAACCAGGGCATCTGATTCCAAAGTCCACACACACCTAATAACTACTATGCTACACTGTAGCTTCTTGTCACTGTCATTAAACAAAAATGTATCTCATGGGATTAATATCACATACTGTTTAAAATGATATATTAAAGCAGTAATGGACTTTGAGCCATATTTTAAATCTGTTAAAATTAAATTGACTGGAGAGCCCTCCTTTTCAAAAAATCTTTTTCAGACACTTCTTTTGATACTCAAAGAGAGATTTTGCTTCACTGAATGGAACAAAACAGCCTGAAAGTTTGCCTGCTTTTCTTTCTTATTTTCCCTCCCTCAATCTGTCAGTCTCAGCATTCTGTTCAGTGACAACTCAAATAACCCAGGGACCAGTGAGGCCAGTACACTGGAAGCCACATGGACACTCAGAACTTAGAGTGAGCCCAGGGGTGCACTGCATGCCCATTGTGAGTGAATTTTGGTGGTTCCCTAAATTCAACTTGGCAGATTAGCATGGCTCAGGGCCAACAGAATTCCAGAAAACAACCTCTAGTGTATAATCTCAAGCTCATGCAGCTATTTTTATCCTAAGGGATATTGTGGAAAAGAAAAATATGATTTTTTAATAAATAAAGGAGAGTTTAAGCAAAATTCTTAGGTAATTACAAGATGAGAACAGAGAAAATGAAAACTTTCATATACAGTCATTAAGTACTTAATGATGTTTCAGTCAGCTATGGACCACATATACAATGGTGGTCCTGTAAGATTATAATGGAGCTGAAAAATTCCTATTGCCTAGAGATGAACTCACATGTTTGTGGTGCTGCTGGCATAAACAAACCCACTGTATTTCCAGTAATGTATAAGCATACAATTATGTATGGTACAGAACACTTGATAATGATAATAAACAACTATGCTACTGGTTCATGTATTTATTATACTACACTTTTTATTGTTATTTTAGAGTATATTCCTTCTACTTATTAAAACAAAAACTAACTGTAGGACCGCCTCAGGTAGGTCCTTCAGGAGGTATCCAGAAGAAGACACTGTTATCATAGGAGTTGACAGCTCCATGCCTGTTACTGCCCTTGAACATCTTCCATGGGGACAAGATGTGGAGGTAGAAGACAGTGATATTGATGATCCTGACCCTGTGTAGACCTAGGCTAATGTGTGCCTTGCTTCTTAGTTTTTAACAAAAAAGTCTAAAAAAATTACAAGTAGAAAAGAGCTTATAGAATAAGGATATAAAGAAAAGTAATATTTTTGCACAGCTGTATAATGTGTTTTAAGCTAAGTGTTATAAAAATGTTGAAAAAATTAAAGTTTATAAAGTAAAAAAGTTGCAGTAAGCTAGGGATTTTATTATTAAAGAAAGAAAACTATTTTTTTATAAAGTTAGTGTTGCCCGAGTGTCCAGTATCTACAAAGTCTACAGCAGTGCACAGCAATGTCCAGGCCTTCACAGTCACTCACCATCGCCCACTGACCTGCCCAGAGCAACTTTCAGTCCTGCAAGCTCCATTCATGGTAAGTGCCTTCTACAGGTGTACCAATTTTTGTCTTTTGTACCATATTTTTACTGTGCCTTGCCTATGTTTAGGTATATTTAGGTACACAAATACTTACCATTATGTTATAGTTAACTACAGTATTTAGTACAGTAGCATGCTGCACAGGTTTGTAGCCTGGGAGCAACAGGCTGTGCCATACAGCCTGGGCGGCTGTGCCATACAGCCTGGGCGGCTGTGCCATACAGCCTGGGCGGCTGTGCCACCTAGGTTTATGTGAGTACCCTCTGTGACGTTCACACAACAAAATCACCTAAGGATACATTTCTCAGAATGTGTCCCCTTCATTAAGTGATGCATGACTATATTTTAATAAATTAGAATAAGGATTTAAAATATATATTAAATAATTAGAAAGATGAAATATTGTAAAAAGACCACAACTAAACGCCAAACTGAACTATAATATATTCAGGTATAAAAATAATAATATGCTCCAGCATATATATTTGCTGTTTTTTTGGAGGGAAGCCCTTTCAAATCCAGTCACTGCTATTATTACAAGCATAAAACCTCTGCCAATGAGAATTTACCTGTATTTCAGGTGACTTATTTGTAAGACTCTTAATTCTAAACATGTGGGCCAAAATTATGTTTCTTCTTGGAAGGGGTGTGTCCTGACAGTACACTTGACGAGTTGTTTCTGAATCTTCTTTGGCAACAATTTTTTGACAAAAATAAGTATTCAGAATAACAGAGCAACTTCCATCTGGGAGAGTTAGTTTTTGCCTAGAAAAGAGAAAGAAGTTCAACAGTTTATTCACAATGTTGGATTCCCCTCCTATTCCTAAATTGGGATGCAAAGAGCAGAGGCTCGCCTGTATGGGCAGCGAGAACCGTGCCAGCCAGGGAGTGGCCACTGCCCTTCACGCTCCCCGCGGCTGTCAACGACTCTGACTTCGCCTTCTCCTCAGGGAGAAATACGGAGAAGGAACAGAGACTAACGACAGGCTCAAATAAGTGCCCAGACAAGGAAATAAATATTTACAAATAAGACCTTCAGACATTTTGACAGCTCTAATCTTTCAAAGAATAATCCATTAAATGCCACAAGAACATCTGCCTTTGCTATCAAACTAGCCATAGTTGCTGAAATGTCTCACAGTTAAGTAGAAAAGGAATCAGAGACTATAGCAGACAGAATTTTACCGTTGCTGAGTCCTCTGATGTGAGAAAATGCTTTGATGCCCATTCCTCAAAGTAGGCAGTGCTGCTTAGCATTAAGAAAAATTTAGGAATTCTGATTCTGGGAGGATGGAGTAGAGATACTTTTCCCTAGTCCTCTCAATAAGGGCACCCAAAACGCTTGATCTTTTATGTAAAGTAAACATAAGAAGACACTGAAAGGTGGAGAGAAGGAGGCTGACAGGCTAAAGCCTAGAGACCTCAGGACCCGAGGAACAAAACCGTGGTAAGCTCCTGGGTTTTCTTTTTGCCCCTTATATCCCAGATTTGGGACTGAAAGAGGTGGCATCCTGGAAACAACAATGGGTTCAGACAGACAAAGCCCCAACAAAAGCCTGCTCTCTGCAACCAAAGGACCAGGGAAGGGCAGCTTAGCAAAGCAGAAACTTAGACAATAGCTGCTCTACTCTAGGCAAAACCACAGCAAAACTATGCCTCATCCCCATGCAAAGGCCAGCTGGGGAGCCTGGCCTTCCACCCTAACGGGGCTGTAATGACAGACCTCAATAGCTGGGCTGCAGGGGGTTGTGTGTGACACAAGGGGGACTGGCAAGGAGCTGGGACTTTTATCCCCACAGGCTTGCAAAGAGTACCTGCTTACCATGACATTGGAGACTATCTGAGGGCCTGGACCTTATCTTCACTGGACAACAGTAACCAAGCACTCTTCCCTCCCTGCCTGGGGTGGTGTCACAGGAAGCTAGTAAGAGTTAGGACTGAGGTGCTGAGGTCACCCTCCACTTTCACACCCCTCCATGGTTGTCAGCAGAAGCCATGTGAGGAGCAGCAAGGCTTCCCTGGCTGCCCCCCACTCCCCTAGCCAGGGTAGTTTTGGCAGAGGCATAGCAGAAAGTTGGAATTCATACCACTGGTCAGCAGGAACAAGGAATCTCCCTCTATCCTAGGTGTCAAATGGGGAACCCGAACTTCTACCCCCACCTGGCAGTAACAATCCCACCCTACTCTCACCTTCTCCTGCCAGATCAGTGTCATATGAAACCACCTAAAACGAGTTTAAGTAAGATACAGAGTCTCATAACATACCTCAAATGTCCAGGTTCCTATCTAAAATCACTTGTTATACTAAGAACCATGAAAAATCTCAACTTGAATGAAAAAAGACAATAGATGCCAATGTTGAAATGACACAAATGTTAGAATTACCTGACAAAGGTTCTAAAGCAGCCATTATAAAAATGCTTCAACAAGTAAAAATGAATGCAGTTGAGACAAATGAAAAATAGAAAGTCTCAGCAAAGAAATAGAAATAAACTATTTCTTAAAAATGAAAGTTTCAGAACTAAAAAAATAAAATAATGAAAATAAAAAACTCAGTGGATAGGTTCAATAGCAGAATGGAAGGAACAAAGAATCAATGAACTTGAAGACAAAATAATAGAAATTATCCAATATGAACAATAAAGGGAAAATAGACTGGAAAGCAAAATGAAACAAAACAGAGTCCAGGACCTGTGAGAAGGAAGAAATAAAAACAGAAAGATATAGATAAAATAATTAGGTACATACTATAGGATTTCCCACTCCTCTTGAGTTTTCTAAATTATATTGGGAGGTTGTTATAAAAAGTATTACAGTCTCTGATGTGGTTCTAAATGTATGCACAGAAAATATTAAAGACAATCATATTATAAATAGGGAAAGTAAAGGGATATAATGGATATAAAGGAACATAAGGTTTCTATACTTCACACAAACTGATAAAATGTTGACCCAGTAGGCTTGATAAGTTATGTATATGTAATATTCAGAACAACCACTAAAAATACCAATTAAAAGAGATACATACAAAAACATTATAAATAAAATTTTTTAAAAATTAAGTAATTTCAAGTAACTCACATCAAGCAGAAAAAAGAAAACAGAAATAAAAACAAAGAACAACAATTAAACCCCAAAGTAAAAAGGTACACTTAAGTCCTAACATAGCAATAATTACATTAACTGCAAATGATTTAAATAAACCAATTAAAAGGCAGAGACTAAAAGAATGGACTTAAATATATGATTAATCTATGTGCTGTCTATAAGAAACTCACTTTAAATATAGAGATAAAAGTATAATGAAAGTAAAGGAATGGAAAAAGTTATATCAAGTAAACATTAGGGGTGGCTATATTAATATTAGATGAGGCAGATTTCAGAGCAAAGAAAATTACAGATACAGAAAGAAACATTACATAATTATGAAAAGGTCAATCCACTAAGAAGACATAGCAATCCTAAATGTGTATGTACCAAACAACACAGATTCAAGATACATGAAGCAAAAAGTGATAGAATGAAAGGGAAAATAGACAAATCCACAATTAGACTTGCAAACATCAACATCTCTCTCTCAACATTTGACAGAACTAGAGAGAATATCAGAAAGGATGTAAAGAGCACCACACCACCACAAATCAACAGGATCTAATTGACATTACAGAACATTCCACCCAACAACAGCAGAATACGTATACTTTATAGGTGCCCACAAAACATATATTAAGAGAGATCATATTATGGGCCATAAGACAAACCTCAATAAATTTTAAAGAACTGAAATTACTTATAGAATACGTTCATTGATCACAATGGAATCAAACTAAAAATCAATAACAGAAAAATAACATGAAATTCTCCAAACACTTGGAAATAAAAGAACATACTTCTAAGTAATCCATGGGTCAGAAAGGAAGCCACAATGAAAGTTTTAAAATAATTGAACTGAATGAAAATGAAAATTTAACATATCAAAATTCGTGAGAAACAGCTGAAATGATACTGAGAGAAAATGTTATAGCAATTAAAGCTTATATTAGAAAAGAAGAAAAGTCTCCAATCAGTAATCTAGGCTCTTACCTCAAAAACCTAGAAAAAGGTAATACGAAATAAACCCAGAGCAAGTGGAAAGAAATAAATAATAAAGAGCAGAAATCATTGAAACAGAAAAACAACAGAGAAAATCAATGCAATAGAGTTGGTTATTTTAAATGATCAATGAATTGAGTAAAAAAGAAAAAAAAGAGAGAAGACACAAAGTACCAATATCAAGAATGAAATAGAGGGCAGGGCATGGTGGCTCACACCTCTTAATCCTAGCACTTTGGGAGGCTGAGGCGGGAGGATTGCTTGAGGTCAAAAGTTCAAGACCAGCCTGAGCAAGAGTGAGACCTCATCTCTATAAAAATTTAAAAAAGAAAAATAAAAATTAGTTGGAGTGGTGGGAGGATTGCGTGAGCCCAGGAGTTTGAGGTTACACTGAGCTATGATGATGACATTGCACCCTACCCAGATGATAGAACAAGACCTCGTCTCAAATAAATAAATAGAATAGAATAGAATGAAACAGAGGATGTATCTATAGACCCTGGAGATATCACAAGGTTAGTAAGGTACTATTATGAACAATTCTACACATATACATTCTAATAATTTAGATAAAATGAACCAATTTCTCAAAAAGAACAAACTACCACATTTGTGCAATATGAAATAGATTATTTGAATATCCCTATAACTGTTAAGGAAAATGAAGTTGTAACTTAAAAACTCTCAAAAGTGATATACTTTCACTGAAGAATTTTACCAAATGTGAAAAGAAAATTAGCACCCATTCTACACATTCTCTTCTAGAAAACAGAAGAGGAGGAAACACTTCCCAATTCATTTTGTAAAGCCAGTATTACTCTGATAATAAAACCAGACAAAGACAGTACAAAAAAAGAGAAAACTATAGACCAACATACCTCTGGACTATAACACAAAAATCTGTAACACAATGTTAGTAAACATAATTCAGCAATATATAAAAGAAATTATACAACATGACCAAGTGGGGTTAATTCCAGGAATGCAAGTCTTATTTAATATTTGAAAATCACCTTCACCAGGTTAAAGGCTAAACAAGAAAAATCAGATGATTAATCAATCTAGAAAATCTGGCAAAATTCAATATCCACCTGTAATAATAAAAAAAAAAACCTCAGAATACTAGAAATAGAGAACTTCCTCAATTTAATGAAGAGCATCTACACAAATTCCATCGCTAACATTATAATTAATGGCGAAAGAATAAATACTTTCCACCTAAGCTGAGAAACAAGGTAAGGATTTCTTCTCTCACCACTTTTATTCAACACAGTACTAGAAGTTCTAGATAGTACAATAAGGCAAGAAAAGTAAACAAAAGGCATACAGATCAGAAAGAAGGAAATAAAAATGTCCTTATTTGAAGATAACATAATTGCTTATGCAGAAAATTTCCAGGAATCTACAAAATAATTCCTAGAACCAATAAGTGAGTTCAGCAAGGTTACAGGAACATATAAAAAAAATCAAGTGTATTTCTATATATTATCAGTGAACACATGGATACCAAACTTAAAAATATAATTATACTTAAAATTGTAAAAACAAAAAGAAAAAAACAAAAACTTCAGTGTAAATCTAACAGACCATGTACAAGACTTGTATGTTGAAGTTCTAAAACTCTAATGAAATAAAACAAAGAAGATCTTAACAAATGGTGAGACATACCACAT